CTCAAGTATGTCGCCCGCTGAGTTCTGTAGCTTATTGCACTGTTCAAACCCATTTGTATACATAAAATTTATAAGGCTTGACGCCTTCGATTTGCGATCATTACCATCCGTTGTGACATCTGTCACCCAGTCTATCCCCGGATTATTAAAGGCTCCATAAATGTGAACGCGAAACTTTGACACATCTAAACTTTGCTCTAGAGCTCTCAGCTCTGCCACAAAATTATCAGAGCTAAACCGGGGTAGAAAATAATAGTTTCTGATTAAAACGTTGACGCCATCATTCGATGGCGTTAACGTTTTAATCGGAACCCAAAACCCTCTACATAAAACGCATTCCGAGTCACAAGACTCCAGATCTTGCCTTCTCCATGCTCGCAAAGAAGTATTCACGGCAGTAAGTACACCGTCGCCATATTTTGCCCCGTGCTTCCGTAATTTCGATCTCGGCGAAAAACGGATGAACATGGGGGGAAATAATCGGTGCTAGAAATGCCTTTCTCCAGCCACGTCTCCGTAAGGCATAACACGGTAAAGAAACTTCCTAAAATTCCAGGCATAAGCTCAGAAGACTTGGTTCTGATACCACGTACGTTTTGGTAATAACCCGTGCACTCCCTTGTGTTAGTTATCACCAACGATCGCAGAATCAACTGGCATATTTCTTAACTTTCCGAAAAAGGGTCGAAAAATGCATCCTGCTGGCGAAATTTCTGTTCAATTGAGTATTTCAAAATCGTTAATATCAACAGATACATTGAAAGAAGCGTAGCTCTCATGCTTAGACACCAGTTTAGTACATAAGGCAGTATCCCCTTTTAAAGCAGTGGCTACAACTTGTGAAATGTCCGAAACCGTTGTACTCGGGGCCAGTCTGGAGACAAGGAGCGCACGACGCCGTAGTGATCGTGGTACGGAGGCGAGCTTGCGAGTAGTACTCACGCCCTCGGTAGGTTGAGACCTTTTCTTTCTTGTAGCCGTGGTGAATCCCTCGTCATCAACAAGACCTGCTCGGGTGTGTTGCGAGTTAGCAGCCACGTCATCGCCTTCCATGGAAGGGGGGCGTTTAGTTGCCCTGCTTCTGTCGTCGTTCGCTGCAAAGTCGACATGATGACTCACGAAGGGCACTGGCTTCTTCAAAACAGCAGAGTAGTGTTTCGGTGGCACGGCTGGTGCGACCGGCTGCTCCTCCGGCAAGCATAACTTACGCAGCAATTCACTGTTGCGCGATAGCTGGATGCGCAGCGATTTGTCGTAGGTCTTCAAAGTTTTGGCAGCCTTCGTAAGGTCATCAATTTTCTTGCAAAGCAAGACCACCAGCTCGGGAAGGTTAGTGTTAGTTCCAGGAATAACGTTGACTGGACTCAATTCTGTCTCCTCGAGTAGAATGGCCTCTAGATCGTCACTGACCTTGTTGCCCGACTCGTCCAGACGCTTTGCACAAGATGGGCACTTATAACTGCTCTTGCCGTCAGCCATGAGGCACTTGTAGTCTTCCTCAACCAGATGCATGCATTTGCAGTGGATCTTGTGGCACTGGGGAAGGCGAAGTAGCCTATGGGATACCTCCTCGAATCCTTTAGAAAGATAAATAAATATGGCATCAGTCTGCATGATATTGCCGCGCACAGGGCTGAGAAAGCAACGCTCGATCCGGAACCTCCAGAAAGTTCTCGTTTATTCATGTGCCGCACGTAACTTCTATCATTTATTCCTGCTTTTGTTTTCTAGAAAGTGCGTGTTCATTCTCGCCCCGATCACGCGACGCTCGAGCCGCTTTCGCCGAATCTTCGAGATAGCGACGCACTCAAGGTAAGAGGCCACCCACGACCTTGTCGAGTCAGTTTCGCCCCAGCGTTCGAACTTGCTGCTTCGCCGCCTCCGACGCCCGCGACGCTCTGTTGTTATCTTTCTTTCTTCTTTTACCTTTTTGGGCACAAGTTCGCCCGATTAAACGTTCAGTTTACTCCGTTATTCGCCGCCTCATCACTTGTCCTTCGTGACAATATTATCTAGGTTACTGTGTATTTCAAGAACAAGCTGAACCCAGTTATGATTCACGAGAATATAATTTTCGAATTCATGCGAATTAAAAACATAACTATTTTTTTTTTGCTTCATGGTGTTTTAATGTATTATCTTCTCAAGAAATTTGCAGTGGGAACTAGTAAGAAAAATGTGACGATAGTCAGAGCATACATTTCGGTCGCCTGATTTGTAGATGGTAATGACTGAACTAATTTACAGTCCATGAGAAGATGATATGAATACGAAGATTGTTTCAAGATATGTAATAGAAAATAAGTTTAGTTATATTTTGTAATAATGAGTAGTTTGTTATTAATTTGCTTATCTTCAGAACTGCATGAGTGTCTTAACATTTATGTAGTGTTAATCATATCTAAAGCGATTTCAATAACATTTATAGAATAATGATGTAAATTGTCAGCATAAGAGCACGCGAGACTAACAACTTAATATCGAAATACCAGCTTGACCGTGGTTTTGAAGCTCCTGAAATCCATGGAAATTAAATGTGCAACTACGCCGCTCCTACTTTTTGTGCAAGCATGTGCAAAACGCTCCCTTTTAATTTTTAACACTCAGGTTTGCTCAAAGCACATACTCGCTGAACTGTTACATATACATCCTGTACAAGAACCTGAAGATCTTACTTGAGAATCTTGTAAACATCTCCAAAAAATGTCTTCTTAGGAAACCAAATGTTATACATAGCACTGGATAAGGTATATTGCCGAATGCAGATGGTCACGAAATGGCTTTCGAGCTGTAGCAGCTGCCTCCACACACCGCGTCTCTCGAGTTTTTTTGTTTGTTTTTTTAGTTTTTGTTTTTGGAGATTAAAACACCAAATAGCACCGCCAAGGCCCATGTCAACGACTCTCAAAAAATATTTCATCGTAAACTGAGGAAATTTCACCTTTTACTCCAAAAACCATAGCAAATCTTGTTTTGTGATATATTTTGTGACACGACACGCACTCGTGTGCGTCGTGTTCAATTTCTTTCCTCTCTGTTGCCTCTTACTTTGAAACAGCGCAAATCTCGTTCCATAGCTTCAAGAATTTAGATAGATACTAATTTTTGTCGCTGACGTGTCACTGTACACGTACGTACGTGTTGTTGTTTTCGACACTTTGACAGCTAGATTTTATGAGAGGAGCTTTCATTGTTGCAGATGAAAAAAATCCGCCTTCTGTTATTGAACTGCGGAAGGTGCAAGATACCTGCATCTCTTTACTGGCTATTGTTTGCTCGATCGTTGTACATACTTCTATATTTAATTTTTTTTTAAACTGAGTTGCAACATCTGCCTCTGCCAATAACCCCAAATTTAACGCCGTGTGGCCAGTGCGAGTGCACGCTGTTTACTTGTTTAAAGTCATTTTCATAAATACAAAGGGGAAAAACAAATATTGGTAAACATTTAGGCTGCCCGTAATGTGAATCAGTGCGACTGCTGAGCTGTAACGTCAGAGTCATAAAGGAGTCATTTCGTAAAAAGTGGAGTGAATGATCGATAAAGGTGCGATTCCGCATCATAGATTCCGCCGTTTCGTATTAAACCGAGTAGCATACCAGACAAAGTTTCCATAGCTTTTATTGGTCAAATTTATTGGACGAAAACGGGGACTGCTTTGTGGTAATTGAACAACACCTTGAAAATCACAAGCCCAAGTTTGAAATCCAGTTTGAAAACGAAACTGCATGTGTATGCATGAACCGTTCCCTGTCGTTGGTGTGGCTGCCTGAACGTCTTAGGCAATGTTATTGTACACAAAATAACACCCCCTTTTGATCACTGAAGAACACTTCCGAAATCGCGCACTCGAGTTTCGAGCGTGTAGCTCCACCCAATTTCACGCCCGTGGTTTCGCCGGCTTAACGTCCCCCTAGCTTTATTGGTTTTATCGCCCGAAAACCTATCTGGCACAATTAGCGAAAACGCTTTTTTTTATGTTTTCATTACCAGCGGTCTCATGCTTATGTTTCTACGTGCCGCCGTGGTATTACGTGATGACGCATCGTCACGTGACGTCATGACATCACGTGGCTCACAGTGTCACATGAAGTCATTATGTCGCTTGGCGTCAGTGTGCAACGTGACTTGAGACAATACTGTCAGGTCTTGGTGTCAGCCGGTGCCAGGTAACAGGGGGCCTGATGCGCGGCGGGACGTCAATGTGGAATCTTTTTGGGCCAGTGCCAGAAATGGCCCGCGTCGATATGGAGCGCGGTCGACGGCGCGAAACCAACGCAGTATCTCATTAACTGCTATCGCAGTAAAACGCTTGCAGGTAACTCTGCTCGAAGTCACTTTCTGCTGAATTTTCGTGGTTTCACCTTTTTTTCTTTTTAGCACAGCATTAAGGGGAGGACTTAACAGTGTTCAGATAACATAACATCACCGGCTCTAAAAAGGCAAGGCCTGAAGAGATAAATGTAGGTAAACTTATTCCACAGCGCGGCGTATTGCACTATACGTACTCTTTGCCTTTTGTTCCGCAGATTGAAATATTTCACAACTAAATCGTGGTTCATAATATTTTATAATATTTTTTCAACTTATCACAGCCTTACTCACTTCTTCTTATTTAATCATATCTAAAATCAGGCTCATATTTTCGTGTGTAATTCTTGATCTCTAAAAATGGACGGCAACATTTATTGTCAACGTCGCCACGGACAATGGACGGAAACATTTATTGTCAACGTCGTAATTTTCTTGTAAGGTGGCGAACACCTTCCAGGGAAATGAATCGAACTTTGGGCTGACGCACCGTTATTCAACATTTACTCATACGTGCAGGAATGCTGGGCTAGCATTGTCCTGTCTTTTTGGTTCTGGACGACGCGCAATCTCTTTGTTCAAGTGTCGCTCCTCTACCCTAGTACAATGACCGCTGTCGTAGTTCAGGTTGGCGAACCAAGACTATATAAGTGGCCATACACTTTTCTATACTCCAAAGACATCCAGGATGGAGAAAGTCTTTCGATGCTTGCGTCTCGCAGTGGCTGTGGCTGTTTTTACAGAAAGCTTTGGTGAGCATACGTTTCTATTTACTATAACTAGAAACACACAACAAAACTAACGACAAATAAACGAAGCTTTAAATTATTATATGTGCTAAGTAGTATCCGCATGTTAACCATTCCTTGCATATACATATATACTAAGCCCTTAACTTGTCAAAAATGATTCGCGGAATTTTTATTTAACAAGATATTTCTAGTTAGCACATGTTCTTTCCTGTTAAGAAAAACCATAGGGTACGCTTCTGTTCATGGAGCTCTCGATGTATTTTATTTGCAGTGATGTGATTCGTCTGAGCCGTTTTGGAGTACGTTTTGAAGCAGCGAAATATCCAATCTGGAGCACCAAAAATAACTTGTGGAGCCATTTTGATTAATTATCAAAAACTGGGGCGAGAGTACTAGAAGCAACAACCATGGAGGGAGAACGGTGGACAAAGTCTCCAACTCAGCTAAAGATTTATTCAGCTACCCTCTCTTATATGCATCCTTCCCCCAAGGTCGCCACCCTTTCCACACAAAAGGTCAAAACCTTTCTTAACTTCTGTGTAAATACGGTTGCGACATTCGGAGTAAGAGCAAAACAGAGATTGAGCGGCACATTCAATTCTTACATCGTTTTGCGTGATCATAATCCAAACTGCACGCGGCTATATTTTCAACCAGAAAGAGTTACTCTATTTAACTCTTACGCACTTAGTAATGGTGTTTCTCGCTACCGCTGCTAGCAGATTCTTCTTGGCATCTGGTTGGCCACAAGAGCATGTCAAGCCCTTTTTCTGCGTCTGGAACACGCCCTGGCTCTGCCCGCTCCTCCGATTGGCCATACTTTCTCTATACGGCTCTGCGATCGGCCACTGCACTATACCAAATGGTTGACACACAAAAAAAGTAAATGCACTGTACCAAAAGGACATCATGTAAATCCTAAGATGGGTTTACATGATGTCGATTAATTACCAGCTCGCCTGCACTCTCTCACTGCTTAGAATAGTACCAAAACGTTTTTTACATATATGAAAGGCTAGTGACTTCAATCCCCACGTCGCAAGGTGCTGTCGCCGCTGCAGCTTCCGCAACTGCAATCTTTACAGGAAACGTTTACGGTGAGCGCTACGTGCTTCGCATTGTTATCAGGAGCGCCTTATCATCAATTATGTGGTTCAAATGCTTATTTGGTGCTTGTTCTTTACTTAAACGAATGTTGTGTTGTTTGTTTTATGAGTAATATGCACTTTTCGCCTCGATCGCTCAAGCTTTTTCTTTTTTTTCGTGTGGGCGCTGACACGAGCAAATTTCACCTACGAGTCCCCCCCCCCTACAGCTTCGCTGTAAAACCTTTTTGTATACTATCATATATGCCAGCCAGTCTTATTTTTTACCGAAAGGTAGACTTGCTAAGGAACTCACTGATCTCAGTTTTAATACATTCGACGCTTAGGTGCCTGTGCGGCATACGGCTATAGAGGAGTGATTTCCCTTTGGTACGTAGGTGTGCTGCGGCGAAACAAATTACGCAGCGTCGCGATAGCTACACTGCAGTCTTCGTCTCACTGCAATGCACGAAAGTGCGGCAAGAACTGCACTCAACGAAGCTAACTAACCTGCCAGAACAAATCACGAATATTATAAATATTCCGAGACCTCCGAGTGCTGTCGGCGTCAGACGCAGAGGTCAAATCGAGTAGTACACTGTTTGGGGCGATAACCAAAAGTTCTCAAAATTCTCAGAAGACTGCCGGAACGATCCGGCCGTGTAGCAAGGCCTGAGCTCTTATGTATATTCAGTAAAACATAAAGCGAAATTACATTTTGGTGCAATGTTGGCTAAATTCATCACATTTTTGGCGAATCATAGCAAGATATACCAGGGTAAATATTTCGGCGCAGGTTGGCGCAAATGATGCAGGAATCACATCACTGGATTTGGCACATGTAAATCCTTTGCCGACGTAAGCTGACCGAGGCAGAATTTCTGCATATGAATGCTCGGTGAATTTAATATTTTTACGTGTTTGCGATGAGGCTGTTCCACACGTTTCCGTTGGAGTGTGATCAACAGCGTATCAACCGCTTGTAGCCGCCTAAGACCAAAGGACTGGCTGGCACATTTGCGCCATCATGTAGCCCTAGAACATTTCCCATGAGGTATAACTAGACTGAAGGCCTGCTGCCTTTGCGAGATCAAATCAACTTGTTACCTATAAGCAGGGATGGGCAGTATTTCAAATACAAGTATTTAAAATACGTATTCCAAATACTTTGTGTATTTTGCACTTGTATTTAATTACCAATTTGGGTAATGTATTTGACGTGTGTATTTAAATACTAAAACGTGGGTATTTCAAATACAAATGTAATTAAACACAATTTCGTGGGCGAAAATACATCCCTCAAATTTATTGTCACTGTCCATAGCAGGACAAAAACTATGTTCTGCACCGAATGCAGTGTCTCTCAATCAAGCACAAACGTTTAGTGACTTTGTGAGTACGGTGCTAGTCCAGGGCAAGAAGAGTGACGAAATCGACGTTCACAGGCAGACTGGCTAAATAAGTGCCTGTGACAACTTGTGATGCTTTCTAGCCTGATTTTCATCCATATTTTTGCCTGGAACATTCTAAATGCCGGATCGTCCAGATTTTCGTAACTGGGGCGAGTTAAAACACTAAAACATTCTCTAACTAGTGCTGCGTCTTGGTCGTCTAGATACTTTGTTGGTCTATGCCAAAATGTAATCCACAAAAAAACCTTTTTGAAGCTCTGTACTTTTTTCGCGTATTACGTCCAAGCTGATTAAATTTTTTGTGATTATATTTCTATTACGTAACTAGAGCCTCGCACACTAACTCCCGAGTGTGCGATGCAAGATTAAAATGAGGCACCTAGAAACCCGTTTCAGGTGCCCTGAAGTCGCTGACGCAAATTTGAGGAATGTATTTCGAAAAGTATTTGGAGGAGACCAAATGCATTGAGTTGTATTTGTATCTTTTACTTAAATACTTTTTTGGAAATGTAATTAGACATGTAATTAAATAAATTTTTGACTAAGTATTTTGTATTTGTATTTCGATAGATATTTGCATGTATTTTGCCCGTCCCTGCCTATAAGGAATAACCTCTGTAATATGGTCAAAATCATTTCAAGGTCTCCGGGTGAAAAAAAAATTGTAATAGATGCGCAGATCCAAAACGTTTCAAGGCTTTTCGATAAGTGGCGTCTATACGTTCCCTCGTCGTAAGCGGGCGCAAGAACGGTTGCAACGCAGTCGATCCACTCAAACGCAAAGGTGTGAACCAGCTTTTAGGGCGATAGAGTCGTGTCGTTTCTGTGGCAGGATGTGTGCCCTTGCTGACGAATAGGTCAAATATCCTGCCTCTTTCCTTTGAGCTCAGTAGCTTTGATCGGCGCAGAGGCCCTAGTTTAGTTGAATTTATCGCGTCGTATTTTTTTTCTTTCTTTGAGCCGCACATGCATGTACTCGTTATCTGGATGAAAGCAGATAAGCTCACGTCAAATAAGTCCGTGTGCGTCTGCCTCCCCGCGAGGCCTCTGGTGGGTCATCTGCCGAAATCGATAAGGTGCTAACAAATAACGAGTGCAGGAATTGGGTTTAGTTGAGAAACACGATCGGCCTAAAACAAGGTTTATATTTCCACGAATGTGACATACTCTCAGAAAGAGCTTCCGTTCCCTCTTGTCCATGTAATACGCTACATTCGTATTTACCTCCAACATCCGATGAGTATGTTTTGGTGCATGTTGTTCCTGCACGAATCGGGTTTTTGAACGGATCAAATTTTGTGGGTGGTCATTCTTAAGTTCTTTCCGCAGATCACGAATACTATGTCAACAATGAGTCGCGTGCGCATTTTATTAGAGCACCATTTGCTTCAGTCCTTGACAAATTATGCCTTTCTGGTGTGACATTGAAAAGACTACTCTGGTAACACAGGCTTTAGGTACATTTGCTGTCTTTGCGGCCATATATATATAACACTGGGAAATACATGCTTATGCTATTGGCACCATGGACAACAGTTGAACGTACGCACTGCAGTGCGTACGTTGGCGACATCAATTAACAAGGCTAACTTGAGCCTTCTAGAGGTTTCACATTTTTATGACACAATAGTGTCATGAAAATGTGAAACCTCTAGAAAGCTCGAGTAAGTCTTGTTAATTGATGTCGCTAAGCGTTGACAAGGAGCTCTAGTAAAAGCCGTGAGGCTTAATTGGATACAAACAATAAGTGATATATGTAGTTACCTTGACAGTGTACTACGGTTTCTTGCTTTCTGTTGCTTTCATGACAAGGAATGCATCGATTTCAAATCTATTCGTCAATATTTTCCAAGATAAAAATGTGAACAAACTACGTATGCACAAGAGTGGGCGTTCATAAGATCGTCTATTGATTTCACGTATACACTTGCACTCATACACCCGTCAACGTTTTCGTACGCAGGTTCTTACGACGTTCTTCATGAGGTGTGCAACGATGCTCCGCCTAAGCCAGTTGATTGCAGTGAGCCTACACTCAAGTTTACTTTCAACATATACCTGAAGCAATGCCTACCCGCTTATGTTTGTGGCCCAGCTGGCACTAAGAATATCTTCGACACTAAACAACAATGCAAGCAAACCTGTCCGATTGGTAGGTATCATATTCTAAAAATAATACTTCACCCTAGAACATTAAAGAGTGGCAATATGTGAGCCTTAAACATCTAACGAACCTATTTTTTTCAAAAGCTGGACTGAATTAACGGCCTATAGTAAACTGGGCGAACACAAATTTTTCCGTGCCTTTAAGACGTGATAAAATGAACTAACGTTAACTGCCTTGGCAAAGCTCAAGCGTAAACAAACAGAGACAAGAAATTTAAAAAAAAAAACAATGCTTAAAAAAACTTACTAAACAATTTACTGACCATGATTCCCCTAACTGACTGCACGAAAACATTTAACGCTTTTGACTGTTTAAAATTACTATTCGAAACAATTCACTCCCTAAAACTGACACAGTGAAAATAATAATAATAATAAAAAATAAAAAAAAACTCCGCAAGCATTTATTTTTTATTAGTTGTGAATGCGAAAGCATGAATGTAGTTTTTCCGCTACCTTAGCTCCTCCCCGGCGTACTGGCGTGGACAGCCACGTTTCGCTACTGCCGAGGTGGCGGCCGACGGCCGAGCGCGCGCTCTTGTAAAGTGGCCGCGCCGCGCTGAGCTCGGCCGTGGAGCCTACCCGGAGTTTGCCCGAGCGGGCTCTGCCAACACTACCTAGACAGAAGGCCTTTCGCATGGTCTCCTCTCCTTCTATGAAACGTCATCAGGTCGGATCGCGCTAACTCGGCTACTGGGCCCGAGCCCGACATTCGACGCGCTAATTGGACACGAGCCTTGGCCGAAGACTGACACAGCACTTCAGCCCAAATCTCACGCCTCGATCAATCCGCCGGTGAAAAAGAGCGGCCAGCCGCTCCCTCTCATCGGCGGCAGGGGCGCTGCGCCGCCATGGAGAGGGCTTCTCTGCGCGGTGGCGTTCCTTGGAACCACACCGCGCAGCAGCCAATGGGAGCCTCGTTCCTTGAAACTATGACCAGCCAATGGGAGCCTATTCATCAAATCGCGGCTACGGACGACAGGCTTCGCTTCATTGGAACAGGGGATTTTAGGTGCCGTTTGGCGCGGCTTCAAAAGTTGATGACGCCCTTTCGCTCTATGGGATAGTTAATGCTTTCGCATTAAAACAAGTAAAACTTCATATTTCTCAAAAAGAAGCACTCGAAAGAACTTACCTTTTTCTGCCAGCGCTTACTATTGACTGTTTGCTAGCCAGTGAGACTAGTGCCATCGTAAGGCTACTCTATTATTAATCCTATCGACGAGCACCACAGCGCTCTCTATTCCTCCACTTCTTTAATATATATTAGTAATTAAACTGGAATTTTTCCAATATAATATTAACTGCGACTATTTTTAGCTTCCAAACCTTCTAGATTTACTCTTTTATATTCATAGATGTATAAAACATGAAGGTTGTACAAGCGAAAAGGAGTGACAGAGGAATTTTCGACAAGAATGAAAGCCTTAACGAAATGTCGACTGCCCCTCTCATGTTTCTATAAGGTTTCTGTTTTAGTCAAATACTTATTTAGTTTTAAGACTCTACGCTCGTTTTTTTAACTGCCATAAAATCTTTATCCAAGTTTTCCAATTCCAATCCTCGTTTAAACTAAAAGAACAAGTCTTGGCCAATTTCCTACGCAAATGTAAAAAAACATAAAGTTTGATATTTTGTTTATTTGAATATTTGTATTATATAACGTTTATTACATTCCCAAACGACGTATTTTCAATAGGCATATTGACTAATGCCCGATATAATTATGCCGATTTAACATCTTGTTGTAAAATTCAACTTGCAACGCACATACCAGTTGCTAATATGTTAGTCTTGGTGTAAATAATCAAGGTTATAAGCAAATTGAACATTGTGTTAGACGTTGTCGACCGCTGGATACGAGACGCAAGGAGGGCAGGAGGTTATTTACAATATCTACAAATGGTGCATGCAGGTGCAGCCGAGTCAGGAGTGCGCGGATGTTTTTCGTTTTTCATGTCGACTAATGAATGACGCGGGCGTTTACAATAATATGGGCCCTCACACCAGTGACAAAAACTGCTATCCGGACCTAACAAAATACTTGAGATTTGTGTTCGTTTTGCTCTTAGCGCCCGTTTCCAGCTTGAGCGGCATCGGCGTAACCGCGCGGTGCATAATGGGTAGATTTCTCCGCTAAATGCAGCGGAAAGTTTTCCCCGCTAAATTTAGCGGAAAAATTTTCCCGCTAAATTCAGCGGAAAAATTTCCCCATCAAATCTAGCAGAAAATTTTCCCCGCTAAATCTGTCGGAAAATATTCCCCGCTAAATCAAGCGGAAAATTTTGCCAGCTAAATTTAGTGAAAAAATTCCCCCGCTATATTGAGCGGGCGCTAAATCTAGCGGAAAGGTTTTCCCGCTATATTTGCGGCGAATTTTTTTCGCTAAACTTAACAAAAAATTTTCCCCGGTAAATTTAGCGGGGAAATTTCCCCTTTAAATTCAGCGGAAAATGTTCTCCGCTATATTTGCGGGAAATTTTTTCCGCTCATTTTAGCAGAAAATTTTCCCTTAAATGGGGGCGGGCAAGAGAAGAGGAGGGGCATAGCCCGCTCTACGTACCTTCCCCTCCTCCTCCTCAAGAGCTGCGCTCTAATTCGGCGTTATAGGGAGTTGTAGACGGGTTTCATTTTTTTTCTTCTGGGCATTCACACTGTCTATGTTCCTCCAGATGAGTTCTGCACTATGCCAAGACCATACTCTTCGTGCAGCGCTGGCGCTACAATAATAACTACGTGGCATCTGAGTCCCTTCACCGGGACATGCATTGCGGCCACCGGCTGCGCCTTTGCACTCGCCGATTTTGAAACACAGAGGGAATGCCAAGCGGCCTGCAGAAAACGTAAAATAAGATTGAGCCTTTTATGCACGGAATCGTGTGTTCGGCAACCTTTTAAGCACAAATCGACTCGCGCACTATCTATATCAATAAAAAAAGACCCAATCGGAGGGCGTGGCAGAGACGGCGGCTAGTGGGGGCGCTGATCGCGCTTGTGGCATTTCCATATCCCGGCGAGTGAAAGGATGGATATTCGTCCGTGAGGGCTGATGCAGTATGGCTATTTTCTTATCGGATTCTTCTCTCCTCCGACCAATACAGAATTGTCGGTAATGCGCACCGCACACTCACCAGCCACCGTCTTCGAGTGGGTCTTTCATATTGGTGGAAACTGTCTATGTCTGCGCGTGCTGTGCGCGTGCGCGCGCGTTTGTGTTCGCGCGAATGAGTGGCAGTGCCTGCGTGCCTCGTGCGCGAGTGCGTACGTGCGCGCGTGTGTGTCTTTTTGCGTGGGCTTCGGTATTCGCTCTTTCTCGCGTGAGTTGAAGCGTAATGGTGCCAGCGCGCAAATAGCCCCCAACCACTTCCGGTTCCGAACTGGACGACCGGGTTTAGCAGTATTTGCGAAATCAAATATACCTTGCTATCTTCAGGAAATGGCACACCTTACAGCACTGTCCGATATAATTTCCACTCACGATAAAAGAATGATAAGTAAAAAATTGGGAGAGATGCGTGAGCCGAAAGTTAGCGTGGGCTACACAATAGATGGCGCCACTGAGTTTGCTGCCAAACAAAAAGGGCGAATATGCTGATATAATCGCACTCGCATTCATAGCTAATTGCGTGCCAGAAAGGTCAAAGTTCCCAGACAATTCTATACTTTATAAATTGATAATAATATTTATTTGCGACAGGTCGACGTACCCTAGGTGGCTCGCACGGCTAGCTATTAGCGACGTGTGCGAACAAAAACATCTCTGTGGTCGCAATTCGCAATTGGCCGAACGTTCACTGTGACGTCTTTATCTGGACTAATTTCTATTTCAGCAACAAAAATCAACGCAACGTTTAAGTGTAAGGTTTGACGACGTCAACTTAAGAATGTGATGACTCCATTGTTATAACACGACTTTTGATCGTTGTAGTTGGTTCACACTTGGCTTTAATAAAATACATAGCGCAAACTGAACAATGACGAAGGGGCACACATATGACAGGACTGCTATTGTTACAGATACCGTCAGGCTTGTAGTTCAAAACCGCCGTGACCTTACAAGTCCACATCTTGTAAGGTAACGGCGAGGAACAGTTTGGTCGTAACGTCATGAGGAGAGATCATAAGAGGGCGCCACCGAACCACCCGGGCCCTAATACTCCGTTTCACTTTAAGTGCGAACGCAGTCGACGCTGCAGTCAGATCGAGTCAATGAAACAGTGCCAAAAGTTCCTTCTAAGGTCGCCCGTCGTTTTTGTACGTCGTCCATCGCCGGTTAAACCAATCACGCATACTGAATATACCATGATTTTGAGGGTCTTTCACGAGAAATCGAGGAACCAGTTCCTTTTTTTTTTTTTCTTTTTTTTTTTTTAGGACGCGGTAACGCGTTCTCAGACACGCGTGTTAGGCACCGTGCCTGAAGTGATTCACGTGTCCTGCCACTGAACGTCATTCGTGCAAACCAGAAAGACCAAACATAAATGATATAACATGTGTTGCGTGAGGACCTTCCGATGATCATTGATGAGCATGTTTTAGATTTCGGTTAACTACCGAATACAAGCTATCCAAGTAAATATAAAACAAAAGTGAACAAACAAAAAAACGTGGGTATAGACGAAAACATTTAAAAAATATTCGGCAGATATATCTTAATGAAGTGAAATGTTCCTTCTAATATTGCAGACACCGTGTGTTATCAGAAAAGCAACGAAAGAAAACCCCTTGAAAGTGCGGGAAGCGTATGGCATTTCAGTCGTGAAGAGCAACGTTGCATTAACACAACATCTCTCGAAAAAAATGGAAACAACTTCGAGAATAAAAAAGAATGCATGGAAACCTGTCCTTACGGTAAATACCAACATTTAAATAATTATTGGGCATATTCGAGAGGAAAAAACACAGCTATCGCTTTATGAGAAACATGAATAAACATCTACAACTCCTGCTAATTCAAACATCGGTAATATTTCTCCTCTGACTCTTCGAGGGGATATTTAATAATGTATCCGTTTTTCTCCGAGAGCGAATAACAGATCAAAGATACTACCGCGAATCGTGCGAGGCAGATCTCCGATCACTGAGGTAGTCATATCAGTACAGCTTTGAAATCTAAGCGTTCAAACTATGCCTTTTTTAATTTATGTCAACAATCGGCATTGAATTGACTATGTTGAGATGTTCAGATAGAGAACTACTAGGTCATATTATAACCTTTTACGATGCGTGGTTGAAATCCAGCAGAATTCAAAAACGAAGACTAAAGAAAGATGAAAAGCTACAGACCGCCTCCAGATGCCCGAGAACGCGCTCGGGCATTAAAGCACACGATACGATCGCGCACCACCAGTTCAGCTCCCAACCTAGAGAGCCTATAGATTTGAGAGAAGGAGCAACTATAATTACGAAGAGCATTTACTATTTAAAGGCGGACGCCTTCTTCGCAGATCAGTCGCCAGGTATTGCCTTCTTGCGTGGCGAGGATAAAAGGGGGCGGAGACGCCGAGACGCCATCGACGCTTTCGTCGCCTCGTCGGAGCTCGCATTGTAAACGCGGCTCGTAAACCACGCTACCCCGATCGAGATGTTGGAAACACGCTGAAATCTATGCACGCTAGTCCGACACGAGAGCGCTAACGGCGCCAATGGATAGTTTCGGTAGTTTCTAATGTTGCTAACGTAATTGTTTTTTTTGTTGTATAATTGTGTGTAAAAAATAGGAAACGTAGAACCGCGAAATATTTTGCGTTTCTTTGTATTAAGGCGATCGTTGATACTCTGCTCTAATCTGCCTTGTTAACGTGTAACGTGTTTAAGATACACAAATAGTCAACGCCTCGGCGCGATTGAACACTACGTGTAATCTGACCGCATGGTTTCACCGTGTCTCTAGGGACGCCTTTTAAGGAGAATTAACGGTGCGTGACATTTTCTACGCTGCGTAATAAACAATGTTACTTTTCAACACAGGAGGGCACTTAGACGAATGCAAACTCCCTAAAAATGAAGGCCGCGACTGTCTGGGACAACGCAAGCAGCTTTTCTTCCGGTATTACCACGATACTAAAAGTGGCATGTGCAGACTTTTCTTGTATAAGGGTTGCGAGGGAAACGCAAATAACTACTTAACAAGGCGTGGGTGTGAAGCAACTTGTCAGGTATCAAGGTAAGCTTTACTTCAAGATATTTAAGCTATTAAAATATAACCTGCCGTTGTTCAGTGAACTCCCGTAGACGAATCTCTATATACATGCAAGACACAGATACACAAAATGTTCGATTTATTATCCCTTTTATCTCACGATGTGCACTATGTTGCTCTGAGCATTGCAATATCAACGGAATTACATGACGCCTATCATGATCTGTCTCATCCTCCAGTAAGAGTCCTGAATTCAAGTGCGCTAAATACCAAAGATGGCCAAACGATCGCGAACACCAACTGATGGATAAAATTGACGAAATATATAAATCACGAACAACTAAATATTTATTATGCGTCTGTGACAGGTACTTCCCATTCGTTATTTCCAATCTAAAGCTTTAGTGAAATAAGGCTATACAGTATACAGGGCGCTTCACCGTACTGCCAATAATCTTAATCCTGAAAAGACACTTGAAGGAGAAATGTAATTTTTCTAGGATTACATTATTCAACGCAACGGACGACAGATTAAGGAGTGCAAAGTGGCGAGCTAATTATTTAAACACCGCTAACTAATTTTCCGTCAAACGTTTGCCTTGGCTGGCTTACTTCTTCCAATTTATGATATTCACTGCTCATCTTCAAAGTATGCCATCGATGCTGTCATAATTTAGCCAGCTATATTCTGCTTACGCTATCCTCTTGATTGATGGGAACCGTGAGGAGACTCAGATACCGAAACTAGACGCAAAAACATGGACGGAATTTATACCCAGAAGTGACGTCTGTATTCGCCAAGGGCGCCGGTAGCGACCCATTGCAATCCGGCCTGTGATGATGCGTCATGTTGTCGTAACGCTACAACCTTTATATATATATATATATATATTTTTTTTTTCTTTTTTTGCAGCGATAGTTAAGCGTTATTTCACCCACTTCACTATTATGATGCAGGGTTTCGGTCGTTAATATCACCACATTCTTGAAAAAGAAAAACAAAATACATACTGCGGTTTTCTGAGTATGCGATCCGGGTACCTTGGTTGCGGAACGAGCGCGCGCCACCACAATGCCACGCCAGCTATACTTTAACAGGCCACGTAAGAAACCAAATGGGTTGAGGACAGCCGCACATATCAGTCTTGCGAATCGTCTGCTAGATTACCGCAGTTGTGGTGACGTCAGATCACGCCACTTGAGTCTTACGCATTCAATTAGAGAAGATATTTATCTATTAAGCTTGTGCAGGTTTGCAACAGGGCCAATGTAGAAACATTTTGTACGGTTACATTCTGCACTGGTAATTGTGAAGCGCCTATCCTTTCCGATCCCGCCCAAGCTGACAAATTTTCTATCCACTCTGTTCACGCCCTAAGGGTCTCTGTATACTCCAGCCTTGACGAACGCAATGCGTGAGGGCGCAGACCAACGTTTGTCGACCGCTGCGCTACGTCACGCTGCGCCGAGAAGCGTCGAACGACCATGTTTACAGTCCAACGCGGAGCACGCTTCGACGAATGCCTCACTTCAAGCAGGCGCGTCCCCATGGCAACCGCATCGTCTGTACACCGTATTTCCGCTTTTTGGTCGGGAAACCCAAACATGCAATCATGCAAACGCTCGGTCAGAGCTCTGCGATCGATGTGGTTCGTCCATGCAGTGTAGTCAAGCTTCAAAACAGCGATTCGGAACATTGGTTAGCAGTTCGAAAACAAGCAAATGATGGGGGATATCGAGTGCAAATCGTTTATTGTAGCGTGAGCTACACTGGCCGAGGTTGAGCAGTTTCGCGTGGCTCACATAACGAGCCGTGCTCCGTGCTGCGCATGCGCGAGGAGCAGTGACGTCACACGGTGCACAGCTGGCGTGCCGGAGCCGCCGCCGCCGCCGCGGGCTACTCCGCCACCGCGCGCGCCTCGCTGGTCTTCGCATTCCAGAGGAGTGACGTCATACCCGCGGCAGACCCGCGGGCGCCTCCGCGTGCCCAGCTGTGTGCCTCCGTTGCGCAGTAGCCAAGGCTGACGCTGCACCGGAACTGCTTGATAGCACCTCTGATTTTGTACGCATAAGCTCACGCTACGTATATCCTGGCATAGCCGAGCTAAGCCACCACAATTTTTGTTTTCTTCAAAATGTCACAAAAATGTTGACGAAAAAACAAAAAAAGAAAATCTGAATGTCGCGTCCGTAGAAACTAGATGCTTGGCAAGTTCACCGGGGTCGATAAAAGCACACAGATTACGTCACCGTTAATTCTAATTAACCCTACCTTTGGCGCGTCATCGAGCTTCCAGCTTTGGCCGGCTCCCCAACACCAACGCGCACCACCACCGGCTAGTTCGGTCTATAGGCCTAACGGGACTCGGGGGTAGCCATGCAGCGCTGATGAAGCGCATCCCCAGAGCAGTCCACGCCCACGCACACACACGCCCAATCGAGCGCACGAACGTTAAACACGCACACCAACACGGGAACACTACAACGGGACACGACACACGGCAAGAACGGCAGCTTCAGATCTTAGAACTGAGCGTCTTGCACACCCCGGACCGGCCACGTCGGCCCCGACAACTGGATTCTGGGCTTCTGGGATAGTCACCGTCGTCGCCCTGCATGCGCTCGTCGACGACGCGAATAGAGCATATGCTCTATTCCGTTATCAGCTACGCCAAGGCGTGCTGGGAAAAGCTGCGCGTCACGTTGCGCATGACGACGGAGTAGAGACCTTTCCAAAAAGGGACTCCTGGCCGGTTCACCCCTTCAGTGTTCGTGCGTATGGCGCGTGACTTGCTCGCTTTCCGAAGCGCCGAACATCCGCGTGCTGGACTGAGGAGATCGCACGCTGGACTGAGGACTTGTAAATATTGGAATGGCGTTACCCCCGTTCGCAGCCAGCGTCGAGCAACGCGATCGGACGCGTGCGTTCGTTGACGAAGACGACGGAGTGTAAACAGCCCATAAGCTGACAATGTGGTTGGAGCCACGCGCTCGCCGGACAAATGAACCACCTCCCTTTCATCACCCAGCCACGCCATTTGCACGGGGGTATGGCCGGAGACCGTGATCAGGCGCCGGAAGATAGTTGCAACACTGGCCCAACGAGGGCGTAGCTTCCACCTCACTGTCAGCTTAGCGGTGAACATCCTCATAACGACGTTGAATAGTTCATAATTCTTGACTAACCAACATACAAGGTGATTAACTTTAATTTAGACAAGTTTTTTTATTTTGATTTTAAGTAGTTTAGAGTTAGACGAGTGCCGTCGTCATCGTGTATTTGTCAGGCTCGGTGGACATTATATGAGGGAATAATCGTCAACCTAAGTTGACTAATTAACTCAAATTTGTTAATTAACTTTTTGTTATTTATTTCAGGGATTATGGTAGAACTCCAGTCTTGAGATAATTACCGTTGGAGTACAAATCAATTTAAAGATTTTGCAAGAAGGTAATAATTTTTTTTTAGATATTATTACATTAATGTTCGCGTTTTTCCGCCCAATTTAATAATAGTGCGCCGATAGAGAACTTCAAGCCCTGCCCAGAATTACTTTTCGAATACTGATGCAGTCGTTTGGGCCATGTCATCACCTGCGTCGTTGAGGCACCCACCAAGAATACGTTGCCGAGAAATGGACGACCTGAATGAAACCACGACGTCATTCTTTCAAGCGTCATTGTGGGCGCTCGAGGGCTCATGACGCTCTTTTTTAATGCAATTTTTTTTAAATTGGGAAAAGAAAACGCGAAAAATTGGTCGACTAATATATTTAAAAAAAAACATTATTTTTCGCATTTAGATATTTTAATTGGTTTGGCCTTTAACAGTAATTACCGTCCTTTGTACAATTACAACATGACACCAAAGAACAAAGGACAAAAAGGTAATTTATAAATTCTCTTTAGCTGGTGGACTTCAACCGTGACAATTATCACCTCATCTTATCTCCACAGATTCTGATAGATAAATATATGAAAACATAACTCATCTACCTTTTAACCCTACAAAAAAAAACACAAACTTGAGGGAGGTTCGAGCTCCGCCTTTAATGCTGGAAAGCGATAGCGTAATCGGACCCCGTTAGCCAAGCCTTCTCATATAAACCCGCACTCGTTCCCAATGCGTGCAAGTGAATGTGCGCGGTCTAGTAGGTAGCGTCACGTGTTACGTAACGTCATGTCACGTGACGTGTGACGTCACACGTTGCTGTGATGTAATGACCCTGTGGAGCCGCTAAAAAAGCGGATAATTTTCCACTAAATTTGGCGTTAAACTTTTACGCATAGTTTTGCGTGAAAATTTTCTGTTCAATTTAGCGCAACATTTTCCCGCCAAATTTACGGGGTCGATAGGGTAACGTTACGACCACGTGTGACGCCACACGTGGCTGCGCGCGTTTCATTATGGGATTTATTGTCCCACCGACGGCGGATTTTCTGCGACACGGGCTCCTAACTCTATTGCGTTAAAAAATACGCTCGAATTAAAATCCCATACCTTGTATATTCCTCACGTCAGGTGGTATCCGTACTAGACGTGAAGAATTCCCGGCGTCTAGGCAACACAATTGAACCTGCACAGTTCAATGCAGCCGCTTATTTAATAGTAAAATAAACATAGTAGTCTTTGAACAATTTTTTTATGCTTTCTTACTCCAACATCTCTTTTATTTCAGAATACCATACACAGCTGAACCTTACACGTCTCTTTAAAGAAGCCTCTCGACTATAACAACGATAATAAAATTTGCCGAATCGATTTACCACGATCGTTGATAAAAAATAAAATTGCTCGGTGCATAGGTGTACTACGACATATAAATTTCCGTAGAACTACCTGTGGGCGGCACAAGAAATGAGAGGGAGGGGGGGGGGGGGGGGGGTATAAAGCTTTACTAGATCGCGCTTGAGACTGGCGTGAATTGCCCGTGCCTCAGGGGACGCAATTTTGGCCGCTCGGCCACTGTCCAGAGGGATGAGGGAAGATTGTGGAATCACGGCTGCCGGAGCGGCGTCTATCGCAGTTTCAATCAGACAGGAGCGCGTGGCATTGAAGCGAGCAAACGAGGAAGCCAGCCGATGAGAAATTGCTGCGGAACCACTACTGTTAGTTGTCTATGAATTGCGATAGCATTGGTCTCGCACAACCTCAAGGACGACGTCTAAGGCGACCTCGAGGACGGCGTCAAGGACGATGTCTAGAACCACCTTTAGGGTGATCTTAAGGACGAACTCTATGACTACGCCGAGGATGAGGTCCTAGAGTACACCACCTAGGACGATCTCAAGGAGGACCTGTAGGACTACCTCTGAGTCAATCAGTAGGACGATATGAAGGACGACGCTCTTGAAGACGACGTCAATACGACGTTCAGGCCGGGCTCAAGGACGCCTCTAGGACG